GTTCCCCATAGACCAGATGAGGGCCACTATGAGGGGAAGCCCATAGGATCAGGGTGGTATGGGCACGGGGGTGGGATGATGGCGCTAGAGAAAGAAATGACTGGTTTCCCAGAGGAGATGCGTCTTTCTGCATCATGGGAATTGCTGCAATGAGAGATCCCCAAGGCCAGGAATTGTAGCAAGAAATCCCCAGGGCCGAGTGGTGAGAGCATGCAAGGAATCCCTGAAAGCATTCCCTGACAGATCAGGTTTAAACACTTGGTGCCCAGCCAAGAGAGCGCCTGTGCCCTCTAGTGACACCTGAGGTGGAAGGGGAGGGGTGAGGCAGCCTCCTTGTGCCACCTAGGCTAGGAACAGGCTAGCCTGCCACAGGCAGGGCTGGGACGGGGAGAAGCTGGAACCTTGGATGAAAACTTCTTATGGTTATACTAAACTGGGTCTCTTAATTTCTAAACTCAGACCATTTTTATAACTTGAAAATGACCAGTGTCCTAGTCTTGCCTAAATAAGAGTTCAGGGACATTACTGTCGCCACAGATTAACTTTAAAGCACAGGGTAGGACAAAATGTTGCATTATGGCTCCATCCCACAGATTCTGCTTGCTCAGGGTAATGGTTACAATTGTCTTTCTAATGAGAAAAATATAAATGAAAATGAATTTTTATGAGAATGTGTCCATTGAGGCATTTTGTCATGAATAAAGTGTCATCAACTTTGGGACCAGACAGATCTGTGCTTGAGTCAGATCAACCCCTTATTAGCACTGATGTGGACAAGTAGTCATTTTTGAACTTGATTTTCCTCATTTACTGTTTATAAATAGGGTAACACCTATTTTGTGGTGGTTAAGAAAAGTTATGGTCCATCATAAAATGTGTGATACACAGTAGGTAGTCACAAATATTAATAACCCTCTTCCCTCCTTATAGCAAGTGTTTCCTATAGTTTTAAATATGTTCTGACTCTCCTTAACATGTGTTTTGCTTCCTCTGAATGTATTCCTTAAAAATACGGAATGATTAATGGATTCAGTATGACTACAGGGTACTATCAAGGATGTAAGCAATGGTAGTTTTAGTGTAGCTAAAGATTTCACCTTTGATTTGAAATGTGAAGGATTTTCAGAAGTAATGAAAAGTAGTTTTACTGCTGTGTCGGTGTTTAGTGAGGAAGCGTATGAATTAGAGGCCTAAAGACAAGGTAGGCCCCAGAGGAGACCTTTTCATCGCTGTTCGTGGAGCAGTGTGGACTATCTCAAACAAAAGGAAGGCACCATTGCAGAGAGAACGCATTGTAAGCACGGTGTTTTAGTTTTTTATTTAACGGGTACATTTCATTTGTTTATTTATCCACCACAATGTGTTGATTGGGATGGTTCCCCACTCATCTTGATTCAAGGTGCCTTTAGTGCTTCCTTCTGAGGGCACATCCTTCTGTAAGCCTTGCTTTTCCTCCTGCTGGCGGACAGAACAGTGGAGCAACCAACACACAAAACTGCCATTTGTGCGCGGCTAAAGAGGGCGGTGGTTTGAGAGCATCCTGGGCATTTCGCCTCCGTGACGCAGGAATTGGGGCTCTGCTTTTTGTGTTTTCCTCGCTGGCAGGCGGGCTGCAGTGTCCTGGCCAGGCCTAGGCAGTCAGGATGGAGCAGGGCGAGAGAGGCAGTGCCCCTGCTCCGCAGCCTGGCATTTCCATAATGTTCACATAAGCTCTGAGGGGATTTTTATTTTTAGTAAAGGAAACTGGTGCTTAGATAACGTTCTTTAAATAAGTGGAAATCTCCATTTTACAAATAACAAAACAGAAGCTCAGAGAACTTAGAAAGTGGAAACAACCCAGGTCTCTTTCATTCCAGAAACAATGTCAGGTTTTCCATGTATATTTACTGTTTTGCTTTCTCTTACAAATTACCAAAGTAATCTTTTCCTCTCTTGGTGTGATTTTATCTACATTTACATGAACTATTGAAACATTTTGGATTTTCTGTATTTACAATTTTAATGATTGGTCTTGTCTTTTAAAATTTCATATAATGCTTCAGATAATTCCTCTAAAGATCAGTAAGATAGTATTTTCTATATTTTGCAATTTAGTTTTGAGAAATTAAATTCTAATCTAGTATCTAGGCTGAGAAGGTTTCATCTCAGTTTTCCATGGGATTATTTCAGTACCATTTATTTACATTAAATAACATTTTCTTTCTTCATTGCCCTGTGATGATTACTTTATATATTCCTCACGTGGAATAGTCTCTGTGAACCTCTAGCTCCTTTTCCTGCTTGTGCAAATCCTGTTTATTTTTCAAAACCTATGTCACTACCAGGGCTTCATGAAGTCTTTTCCTAGTACCTGACCTCCACGCTCTGCCCCTCGCTGAACCCTCTCAGCTGCCATGGCGCTTAGGCCACACTACTTCTTTTTTACCTTGAACTTGTTAATTGCCACAGTAAGGCTACGTGCTTTAGAGAGCGCGCTCTTTTCATTACTGCATCTCCTAGGCACTTACTTTGTTATTATGTACATACTAGACTTTCCGGTAAATATTTGGTGGTTATACTTTTTTTTACGCTTATACACAGTTGGACCTAATCTGATTTCTCTGTTCTCTTCCCCTGACACTATATATATATATATATATATAAATTCCACACAATTTTAATTATTGGTGAGTAGGACTGATCCCTCTCATTTGCTCTTCTGTGTTGTTTTTTTCCCAAAAATTTTCATAGACTTGTATGTTTCTTTTCCTCAAATGGATATAGAATAACCTTTTGAAGGTCTAAAATTAAAACCCAGAGACTGTACTTGTTGGAATTATATAATAACGCACTTTTATGATGTTGTCTGATCTGGAAACATGGTCAATTGGCTCTTTAATTCAAGTGCTTTATTCTGTTTCTAAGATGGTTTTTGAGATTGCTTTGCATACGTCAAGAACTTAAACAAATTGAACTGAATTCGATTTTATCATACACCAAAGAAGGAACGGTCTGTGTTGCATAACCAGCTGGATCTCTATACCATCATTTGAAACACTGCAGAGCTGTCCATGTGTTACAGAATGCTCTGAAGTCATAACTCTTACGTTTTATGTTTTGCTGGAGACAGAAAATTTTTAACACTTATTTGAAGAACCTCTGGGCTTGTGAATTTTATTTTTAGATGCCTGGATTATCTAATTTACATATTATCTAATAACCACTGTTTATGCCCTGACAGTTGATTAAGAAGGATGAAAACAATTATAGTGTCTTATTATTTCTTGATTTATTAAGAATTAGACAGGATAAATTGGATTTTTCCTCAACGGTTTTATGCAAGCGGCACCAGTTTTCCCCCTGTGGTTTATGAAAGTATGAAGGTGGCCAGCCAAGCCACTTGTTTTGTTTATTTCTGGGTGGCTGCAGTCAGCCTTAGGGAAGGAAGTTTTCCTTTGGCAGAAAAAGCAAAAAGTGTTTATTCATTCCATTTGTAGTAACGTTGATCCAAGAGGAGCTTTTGAGGAAAACCAGAGTGGTTAGGTCTTGAACATAAACAGCTCCGATTCATCTCCTAACTAGTAGAGAAAAGTGAAAAATTAGGATGATTAAATATAATTTATAGACAATGCAAAGTTCTAGAGCAGAAGTTCTAAACTGATGATGGTTCATTAACCAAATATAGCCCCCTGACACTTTTTTTTGGCTTCCTGAGTGTTTAGAAAATTTACTTAATAAGTTAATAACATTTAAAATATTTTTACAAGTATATGCAGCAGCAGGGCATGTTAGTAGCAGGGGCCCCCCTAGATTAAGCATACATGTTTGTTTGCCTTAGTTGGCACTTGCAACCTGATTCCTGCCGAACCCCTATGTGTTTCACTTTGCAGTCCGTTCTAGAGGCTCTTGAACATGGAAGTAATAGGTCTAATGCTGCAAATGCAGCTGACCTTCAACTTTGAGTTAATAGGAGATAGAGTATGAGGCATGAAGATTCCAGGTACTGGGTGTTTGAGTGGAATATGGGATGTGTGAGAAAGAGAAGTTGTAGAGGAATCCAAAGATTTTACCTGAGCAACTGGAAGGAGAGAGGTCCATCTTCTGAGCTGGGGAGACTGCAGCCATAAGTTTGAGAGGGGAAGATGAGTTCAGCTTTGGACAGGTTAAGTTTGAGGTATCTATTAGAAATCTTAGTGGATGTACTGAGCAGGCAGTGGTATGAGAGTATGGTGTTGGAGAAATGTTGAGACGGAATAAATACATTTGAGATATATGATGCGTAAATCCATGGGATGAAGTGAGATCACGGAGAGGGGAGGACCTGGACTGAGCTGGGGCATGTTAGCATTTGGGGAGTTTGAGAGAAGAGTTCTGCAGAGATTTGCCTCTGGCAAATAATAGGTTATTGTCATGGAATATAGTCTTCACACCTGTAATAAACCTGACATTTTACTAGTGCATTGAAACTGAAGGACCTTAAACTGTGATAGAATATAGAAATGCTAGAGGTCCGATGCATGAAATTCGTGCAAGGGGGCTCGGCCCTCGCAGCCCTGGCTTTATCTGGAAGGTGGTCCGGAAGGTCGTTCTGCTGTTTGGTCTAATTAGCATATTAGCTCTTTATTATATAGGATGCTTCTTTTAATAATTCTAAGCCCCTGTTACAAGAATAAAAAAGAATTGCTAATTTTTCCCTTATCTTGTTTCATAAGCTATAATGAGAATAGTGTACTTTTCTTAGTACACTTATTAGTCTTTGAGTGTCTTGAGGGTAACAACTATAGTGTTTTATCAACTATTGGTGTTTTCCAGAGTGTAATATTTTGCCTTACTCTTAGTAGGTTCTCTGTAAATAGTTGCTGAGTTAATCCAAGGAGACACACACACACACACACACACACAGCATATACTTATAATATGTAGTTGCATTCATGAATTTTATTGTTAGTTTTAATAAAATAAAGTTGTTTTAAAGTATAGTAATGTTTTAGACTTTCTTCCTTTTTTCTTTCTTTAAACAGGTAGAGGGACGAGGGCAGAATCACCAGCACTGGCTGAAGGTAAATATGTCTTTGGGGGAAATGATTATTCAAATGCAACAAACATCATGATTTAAATTAAGAACTACATTGGCTAAACGTAATATAAGGAAATGTTCTATACATATATTGTATTGCTAAAAATGTCTTTAGGAAATAACACCCTGTAGTGTTTAGTTTCTGGCTTAGTCTAGGAAGTAGTGGGGAAATGTAAATTTAATTAGACCTTTTTTTCACAGCTTTTCATAGTAGAGGTATGTGTTTTGTTTTGCAAATTCCCTTTTAAGTCATTTCAGCTATCACCAATATGGTTGATCAGAAAAGGCCTAAGCCATAATTCTAGTATGTTTATTTACTAATTTATGTATTTATTTGGAAGAAGGGAGAACACTTTTACATATTTCTTAATGGGAATTCTACCAATTATTGGTTTTGGTCCTTTTTAAAATGGGTCCTGAGTACTCAAACATTTATAGTCCTGTAATTGATTTAATTCTAACAAGTCAATGGGTATTTGAAAGTGTAATTTTTCTACAGACTCTTTGTGTTCAAGTGAAAATGACCAGCTTAAATCTCTTCTGGTGCTCCTTCTAGTCATAGGTACAGATACTTCCTTTCAGAAGGTGCCTGGCCTTTTCTTAGGCCCTGTGACAGCTCTGTAATGGTCCTGTGGGACTGGAGCCCTCACCTGCGCCCTGGCCCGCAGTACAGGAGCTCTCACGGTTTCTGGAACCATGACCTCTGTGGTCATCAGTGAACTCTGAATCCCTTCTCAGAATATTGATTCTGACAGTTATTTTATGAAGTAAAATACATATGATTAAAAAAGGAACCAGATAGTATTGAAATAGTTAACAAATATTAAAAATACAAAATTTTGATAGATCTATGCTTCTCACAGAAAATAAGCTTAGGGGACAATTCTGCTAAATACTGTAATTTTAAATAGTGATGAGTTTGCAGTTGTAATTGTAATGTAATTTGAAATTACCTCTGATTTCTGTGGATGACAAGTTCAGAGGTATTTCTAATACTCTTTGGTTTGTTGCCTAGAATCTTGCTTGAAGGATTGCTAACTTCCACCTAGAGCAGTGGTTCTCAACCTGTGGGTCACGACCCCTTTGGGGGTCGAATGACCCTTTCACAGGGCTCGCCTAAGACCATTGGAAAACACATATATAATTACATATTGTTTTTGTGATTAATCACTATGCTTTAATTATGTTCAGTTTGTAACAATGAAAATACATCCTGCATATCAGATATTTATGATTCATAACAGTAGCAAAATTACAGTTATGAAGTAGCAACGAAAATAATTTTATGGTTGGGGGTCACCACAACATGAGGAACTGTATTAAAGGGTCGCAGCATTAGGAAGGTTGAGAACCACTGACCTAGAGGTTAGTGAGAGTTTCCCATCCAGATTCACAGGCACTGAATTCTCCTCCTGGACCCCAGATTAAGGACTCCTGTTAGTGAAAATCAGCCAGACAAATTCTTCGTCGTATTTGATAAATGCAGTTTTCCATGTTCTGTATCACTAATCTTAAAGAAGTAGCACTACACATCCATACATTAAGAAATATCCTGATGGTGTGGGTTAGAAGTTTTTGAAATGGCTTTGAAGAAACTTCTGTTTGCTGGTTAATAATCACAGAAACAGCATTCTGTGGAAAATGGTGTAGATAATGTGTTAAGCCTTGGAGTTTGCCTGCCTCCGAAGAACACACATTCTAGTTTCAGGAACATGAACTACACATCCTATACTAATAAAAGACAAACATGCAAATTGACCATACTTTCGCTATGCCTTAAGCCACGCCCACCAGCCCATCAGAGCAACTATATGCAAATTAACCCAACCAAGATGGCGGCCAGCAGCCACAGAGCCAGAGTGAGCAGGAGGCTTGCTTGCTCCGGTGATGGCCAAGGTTCCCTGCCTGCCATGGCCTGGCTCTGAGCTCCACTGAAAGCAACAAAGTTTCAATTATAGAAGGTAAACAAACCCCAGATACTTGCTTTCACCTAGCGGTGGCCACGGAGCTGGAGCGAGCAGGAGTGG